CCTACACTGACCTGTTGACGATAATCCCACACTGACATGTCGACGATAATCCCACACTGACCTGTTCACGATAATCTCAACTGACCTGTTCACGATAACCCCACACTGCCATGTCGTGATAATCTCACACTGACCTATTCTCGATAACCCCACACTGACCTGTTCACGATAACCCCACACTGACCTGTTGACGATAATCCCACACTGACCTGTTAAAGATAATCCCACTCTACCTTGTTGACGATAATCCCACTCTGCCTTGTTGACGATAATCACACACTGACCTTTGTATATCTGTGATAAACCGGACCTACAAAGAACAAAAGTAACCATAACGACATGTATTTATTTCTCATAGAATATATATTAGAATGACAGGTTTCATATTATATCAGAATAATCTTATTATAAAGATTTTAATGCAAAAGGAATTGGGCAACAGTCAAAGCCTACGAAAGTCCGCTCCTTAGAAAATTAAACAGAACAAACGTCAACCACAAATATCAGTCCGTTTCTCAGACTTGGTAGGTAGGTCGGCACAAACAAACTGCCCATACAATTCTGCGACCTGTGCCGATTCACACTAGACAGTTGATGAATAGACCAAGTTTTGTGGGTCTATAGATAATACTAAAAGTAATAATTACAATCAAAATATTGTTTCCTTTTTTATTTAACAAAAAATCATGTCTTTAACAATGAAATGTACATGTAAACAGCGAGTAAACGTAATCTTAATGTGCAGACATAAAAAAAATCATATAGACATGATGACTGATTGAAAAACCTCTGTTATTATAAACATACTTTTGTATCATATGTGTTCCGGGTGACAAGTTTTTATTCATTTAGCTTTAGGTTTACATGCAAGGTACACAATTTTATCATACAGATTACTTTTCAATACATTATTCAAATTCATTTTTCGTTTCTCAATAGACAGTGTAATTATACTTCGTTAGAATTTAACGGATATGTTGTTTCTTTTCCCTTGTAAATCCATACTTTTTACCCATATGAGATTTCCATGTCTCACTCTAGGTTTGAGACGGGGAAATTCCTGTCCGTCGGAACACCTCGCCTCGATTACAGTACCCTCCATCAAAGCACTGAGACAACAAAAACACATACGGGTACCTAATAAAAGTAAAAATTACAATTAAAATACTGTTCAATTCAATTTTTGTGCGCTTGTGACATTTTATCAGACACGACACGGCACGGCACACGGCGCGGCACGACACGGCACGACACGGCGCGACGCGACGCGACACCACACCACACCACACCACACCACACCACACCACACCTCACGACACGACACGACACGACACGACACGACACGACACGACACGTAACGTCACGACACGTCACGACACAACTCGGCACGACACAACTCGGCACGACACCACACCACACCACACCTCACGACACGACACCACACCACACCACACCACACCACACGACACGACACGACACGACACGACACGACACGACACCACACCACACGACACGAAACGAAACGACACGTAACGTCACGACACGTCACAACACGTCACGACTCGACACGACACGAAACGAAACGACTGCAAACTTCGTTAGTTGATGAGTTCTCCTACGCACAGCCGCTTTACCAAGTCGTCGACCAGGGCCTGCTTGATGAACTCCACATAGCTTCACTGCTTGCCCGCTTTGTGATGCTTAAACATATCATTCACATTTCCATACTTCCCTAAAATATAACATAGCATAACTCCTTAATACTAATCTGATATTTCTTAATTAATTAACGATGATGTAAACCATATGTTACATACTACTAAAATATGTTTTAAATACGAAATAAAAATATGCGTCTCCATTTTAATCACGAAATAACATAAAATCGCACAATATGCAAACTGACAGCTCACGGCTTCCATACATTTTCCATCGGCGCGCGTACCCAAAACGTCCTACTTTGTGACAATAGAACAGCACTTCCATACCTTGTTAAATACGCACGATACAGAAAACATAATTGCATATTCAAAACTCAAGTATGCATTTATAGTCCATATACCATTGTAGTACATACACAGTACATGAATTTAGCATAAAAATGACATAAGTACAACTTATTCCACTTAAATGGTCACGACTGATTAAAGTGCACAGACACCTAAAGTGTTTGACCCAGTAATAACAGGGTACAATACAAAAATACCGACGAAAAAGAGAAGAATCAAAGTTCACTTAACTGTCTTCTGTGATTGATTCATATGCCGTAATTGTGCAATAAATTCATATCGGATAAACAAGGTAAATATACAATGTCTGTTTCCGTAAACTGCTCACCTCGTGCACGTCTACTCGTGTCGTATTGCCGCAAAACAACGGCGCCCAGCTTATCAAAGTTATTTATCCAGGTTAAAATTTTAAAAAACCAAGATACAATGTACAACATCAACTCCATATACTACCCACAATATACATGTCTGCGTGACAAAGCGAACTTGCTTTAAGGTACATTTATTGTGTACGAGATAGTCACGAATTAAAAGGACCTTTCGGCTGAAGTATTGACTTATCTAGACTTTCGTAAAAAGTAGTATGGAGAGACTGAGACTATAGTGAAAACAGGTCGAATTGGTGATTTTCTATGCGTACTTTAGTTGGCATCAATTAACTAAACCTGGTCACACCTGTAGAATCACGCGAGCCTTTCACGGCCCCCTCGTCCCTGTTATTACTGGCCCGCTGCGGCGTATACAGATGATGTTCTTGACTTGCCGTTTGAAATAGGCTCTTTTCCCTATACATGTACTTTGGATTTGCCACAGTCAATGATAATGATTTTGCTTTGTGAAATGATTTTTGATTTGTTGATCTAGGACTCGAATTGCTTCCACTCCGATTTGGTGAATTTCTGCCTTCTTGGATTTTTGTGTTTTCCTTGTGTTTACAGAGGCGAACCCACCTCCTCTTCCAGTTTATGTGACATGCATGTACGGTGTATCGCATTTTTTGCATGAAGTTTTATATACGCATTGTATACACATTCTACACCGTTCCCTTCAAGTGTGTTATCCACAGGATGGACAAGGATTGTGAGGTTTCATGACTGTTGCAATACAATGGCTTCGTTATACCGAATGTTTTCTGATAATGTTTTTATATCCCTTCATTTGATTCTTTTCCTTGAGGACTCTTTGCTTTGTCTTTTTTTCCTGTCCTCAAGTTGGTTGAATTGCCAGATCAGAATATCTAAATGTTTCCATGGCACTAGGAATGTGATTTTAGTCTTTGTTTTTTGCCCTGTTGTTTCGTTACAATCTACATGTGATTCCACGTCCCCATATATTTTTCATGAAATGTCACAAATACCGTAAACAGTGCTGTTTATAATCCTCATTATGTTGTATTTAAGCATTTTTCAATGATTTTGTATCCCAATCCCCAGTGCCGTCCTCGATATTAACACGGAGTTATCTCCTCTTTGTGTGTGAACAGACTGCTCAACTCAGTGAACTGTGGCATCGCCATTTATATGGTGTTTCGAGTTCCAGCAAACCTCTGATTTCCTCAGATTTATTAATTTAAGATTTTTACATATCACTTTGGTAAATGTTTTATATGGTGTCAGTGACATTGTAATTCTCCCTATCTGTCAACACCCATCAGCTAAAACTCAGAAGTATGGTATGTGGTATGACCGAGTTCCAATTAGACCAAACAAACTTGGGAATACCATGACAAATATCAGCATTGCTTATGGATTGTCTTGGACATATACAAATCATTCTTTGCGGGTCATATAGAGATTTTTATTTTAACCCAAGGTCCGTAACCCCGCCCAAAAGATCTCTGGACCTAAAACAAAGTCAACCGGCTTAATATAACTTGTTGATGTACATTACAATGTGCTATATCCTTACTTAACTGTGCTAGATAATTAAGGGACCCCAAACATCATTTAACAGACATGTATGATATAAACCCGTTGTCCCATGACTAGAGTTGTAGTGAGAGATTACATTATTTTACTACATAATGTACAAATGTAAGATATACAATCAAACAATATTAGTACACGTGTACTTACAGTCTAAAGGTTGTCAACTCTTTTAACTCCTCATTTTGTACTAAGTATCTCTTTTTAAAACCTACGACTTTTTCACCATCTGTCCTCAATTGGCAAAGACCACCAAGGTTATAGAAACATGAATCAAACAAACATTCGTTATCTTTGTATAATATCAGAACTATTGAGAGAGACCGATATTTTAAGTGTTAGTTTTTTTCCATTAGCGCCCTTGTACAATGTATTTCCAGTGGCAACAATTTGGGATGTTTTCACTTAACCGCTGACAAACTCTAATTGACCATTGAACAAGCGTGTGGCCTGTGGGTATGGGTCATTTTGTTATTTTGGTAAATTGTGTTTTGTAATTTATTCTTTCAATGGTCCGTAACAATGTGTTTTTTAGGAAAACCATTCACTCAATCGGTACTCATCGGAAACGAAACCATATAAAGTATTTGAATATGTTTAGAAATTTGCTTAAAGCATTGAATTATCACCTCTTTTCTAAATGTCCTTTAATGGATGGCGTGTGAAAAAATCTTTTGGGAAAACCTCTTCTCTACAGTGAGAGAGTTCAGTATAACAACGATACAGTAACGTTCCTTAACGATCAATCCATTCAAAATTACAAATATACTTGACTCAGCAAGAGAAAATTAAAACGGTGACAAACAGCTATCAAGATACAGTTCAAAATTTACCTGAAATGCATATTTCTATCAAGATACAGTTCAAAATTTACCTGAAATGCATAAACACAGAAAGACAAACTCCCCCCCCTCCAAACACCTTCCCCCTCCCCCCCCCCCCCCCCCCCCAACAAAAAATATGAAAAATTCAAGAACCTATATTGACTCCTTTCCAAAAATAATCATTTGTCTATATTCTTTGAAAGGAATTATTAATTGATAATATATTTTTTAAAACGTTACAGGGATCTGAAGACGAGGAGCGAAAGAAACCAAAATCATTAAAGAGAGTGTTGGGTCGGTTTGCTGAGAACACATCAATATCCGGCCTTCCACATTTATACAATGCCAAAAGGACAGTTGGCAAGGTGTTCTGGGGAGTCTTGGTCATCACCGGTTTTTGTGCCATGTTTGTCCACCTATATTTTTTATTCGCCGAGTTCCTGTCATGGCCGAAAAAGACAACAATATCACTAGGTTTCAACAATCTACAGCTCCCAGCCATCACCTTATGTAACGTCAACGTTATACGAAGATCTCGACTGGATTTAGCTGCCGAAAAACTCGTAGCATTTACAAGTAAAGTAGACCCGGCAAATTTAGTAAGTAACTGTTGCTCCGTTAAATTGTCTGATGTATACGATGACCATAACATAACGCCTATCTCACCTAAGCTGGGTTTGTAATATGTCTTATACGTGAAACTTGTCACTGTGTATATTTTCCTGCTTTTTGTATTAAAGGTGCCACTGTGTGTATCTTTCCGTAGTTCTACCTGCCTTTTGTATATTATTGTGTCAATATATACATCATTTTCTGTCTGCCTTTACATAAAAGGTGCCACTGTGTGTATCTTTCCGTGGTTCTACCTGCCTTTTTTATATTATTGTATCAATATATACATCATTTTCTGTCTGCCTTTACATAAAAGGTGCCACTGTGTGTATCTTTCCGTGGTTCTACCTGCCTTTTTTATATTATTGTGTCAATATATACATCATTTTCTGTCTGCCTTTACATAAAAGGTGCCACATTGTGTATCTTTCCGTGGTTCTACATGCCTTTTTTATATTATTGTGTCAATATATACATCATTTTCTTTCTGCCTTTACATAAAAGGTGCCACTGTGTGTATCTTTCCGTGGTTCTACCTGCCTTTTTTATATTATTGTGTCAATATATACATCACATTCTGTCTGCCTTTACATAAAAGGTGCCACTGTGTGTATCTTTCCGTGGTTCTACTTGCCTTTTGTATATTATTGTGTCAATATATACATCACATTCTGTCTGCCTTTACATAAAAGGTGCCACTTTGTGTATAATCTAAAGTTATTCTTTTGCGATCCTTTTATTGTCCGTGTTCTATATTCCATTATTTATTTTTTTTGTATTTTTACAGACGATCGAGTGTTTTTTCTGAATCCTTTCTGTCAAAACAATCTATCTGTTATTTATATAGGATGTTATACTTAGTGGAAGGCGGTTTTTATATGTGTTGTCCTTGCTTTGTTTACATTTGATTTTCTGAATAATTGTATGGCATTCAGTTGACTTTCACGAAATGCAACTGACGTTCCTCCATCATTCTTGACAAGTACTGAATATAATAATCACTCTACGGTTTTCACTCGTGCTGAAAAGTATTGTTATTATGACAATTTGGGTGTATACTCCTGTAAATCATTCGCATGGAAATATATTTTTTGTCGAGTTTAAGCTCTGTATGCAGATGCTAGGACAATAAAATGATAAAAGACGTCATCGATTTTACGCTTAACGCAGTATCTACCTAATCTCGTTCATTTCGTTTAAAATCCATTTCACAAATTAACAGCTCTTTCAGTGTAAGGCATAATACATGTTGTATTTTACTCATTAAAGTAAAAAGAAAAAAAAATGCACACGTAGAAGCTAATAAAACCACAATTCTACGTATAATGAAGAATATAGGATGACACGTTGCACAATGACATAATACCGGATTGAAGCCGCCCTTTAAATCTAGGATTTCTTTGTAAAGTCACGTTCTTAGAATGAAAGCGCTATTATCATTATTCAATATTAAATTGTATCATCAATGTACGTTTCCGTCTGTGAAGTTGGGCGTTACCGACCCTGATGATGTGGATGTGAAACCGTATGATTATGATTACGGTGTAGAAGGATCCGGATCTGGCGATGAGTATTACTACTACTACGACTACGAAGATTACCACGATGAAACTGCAAGGGAAAGTGGATTCTTCGAAAGAGACAAACTGTCAGAAATATTCACTAACTTTCGAGGCCTATACTTAAACGAATCAAGGTAGATTATCGAGATTTCTTGTTCATCAAATCAATACATCAGTCATTTGACGAGTAAAGTCAAAATTGTTGCCCTGTCATTTATTGAAATTATGCAATGGTATATAATGCAATTTTGTATGAATGAACATGAATTTTTGACTGGTTTTAATATTCCTGTCTCGCCGTTTTGATTTGCGCAAATTACTTCCCTAGTACATATATCATTAACAAATCCCGAACTCACGAGCCATTGGTGTGATGTCAGCTTGATTCTGAAGTCGGCATATAATTACCTGCTGTATTTCTACTTTATAAAAACTACTATTTTCCACTTGTCATTTGAACAACGCTTCGTGTCTTTTCGAATAAGGACGCAATGAGCGGTCAGGTGGCCTACTGGTAACACACTCGCCTTTTACTAAGCCGGTCGGGGTTCGATTCCCAGACGTGGAAAGATGTAGGTCTGCCTGACCACAAGGGTTTTTCCCCCGGGTACTCCAATTTCCTCCCACAGTTAGATCCCTGCCACGCTTATATCAGGGCCCACAAGAGTGATTAGTAGAAGTTGTTATAACTTGTTTCGCAATTGTTGTAAAGTACATAAAGTTTATAGGTTCTATAAGCTTTTACACAATGTTTTTTCTATAATGTATATGAATGATTCCTTTATACACGAGGACGAATCACCAACAGAAATTCCCTTACGCAAAATTAAAGAAAAAGATTTTTTTCAGAATTAACCGCATTTCAATGGGACATGATTTCAATAAGACTCTTAGCAACTGCGCCTTCAACGGCTACAGGTGCTACTCGGAGTAAGTAATTTTGTCTGCTCATGAGTATAATATCTATTTCGCATGTATGTAAAAATCAGTGGTTTAAGAATTCGTATACAAAATAAATACCAAGTGTTGATTGCAATGTTTTCCTTGTAAAAATCACCGTATGACGGCTTTGCAAATGTACCTAATGTAAACGTGTCTTTAATAAGGACGTTTCTACGGTTTCAGAAATTTTACACTATACCAAACTCCTAAGTATGGAAATTGTTACACGCTGGATATGAAGAATTTCGTTATCAAAAAGCCAGGACCAAATGCGGGTATGTGGAATAATTGTTTTGTTTTCATATTGCTGAATCATTTATGTTCTTACGTCGAATGTTTTACTATTAATGTTTCCAATGTTTAGGTGTTTTACTGCGTAACATATATGTCATCTTTTCGTTCCTGGTGTCATATTAGACAAAAACCTAGAAAGCTTTTAGTTTACCATTGAATCATATTTACGCGATCATCCTTTAACATTGTAAGTGTGACCAGTCCTGATGTAGTAATACAGTGCGATTCCACTGTCGTAAGTGTTTTTGTATGTCCCATCGAGGGCCGATTTCGTTTAGATTCCCAATACACAAAGTTCTGGACATCAAACCAAAACCTTGATCAACGTATTGTTTAAGCCCTGCATTGAATTCTATTAAGTAAACTACAAAACTAAACACAGAGTTAGACAAGGCGATGAAAACCAAAACCCGGATAGTTATTGTGACGGGACGTCAACACAAGGACAGATAGGCAAAAGCAGATTTCTTTTCAAAGCGATCACGACACAGAACATGTCATCATTATCAACATCAATAAATGGCGTTATCGTAGTTTTAAAGAATCTCGGAACTGACTGATTGGTCGAAGAGCCGTTTCTAACGTAACGTGATCACATCATGAATGCTACCTGTCATAAGGCTATCTTAATTTTAGAAGAAAAAAAAAACAAACAAAAAAAAAAAAAAAAAAAATGAGAATGAGAAGTTTGGTGAATGGCTGTTACAAATGTATAAGTATGATCGGATATACAATTTATATGAGGCAAACTTGATATTTTCCAACGGACGTCGAATTGACTTAATGACTTTTATTCCTACTTATCAGGTTTTGCAGCAGAAATCTATTTATCTAAGTGTTGAAATATGAAATATCCGTGCAAAGTATATCATAGATCGTTATGATATGGCTTCAGTTTACTTTATCATTGAACACTTACGTCAATTACTTACACAGCTGTACTTGTTATAAATCTGAACGTACCTTTCTTAAATGATCATATTCATCCATAAAGATTTAAAGAATACTTTTGATTTCTATCTAGGTCTGTCTTTGACTCTATACCTGGAGACACATGAGTATCTGCCGGGTGTTACTGATGGGTATGGTCTGCGTGTTACCCTACACGCTCCCAACACTGTCCCATTTCCTGAAGAAACTGGCTTCTTCATTCCGGGAGGCCAAGAAAGCAGCATTGCTCTCAAACAGGTTGTTAGCTTTGTCCAACATATGTTTATAAAATAATAATCATAATTTGTTGACTCCTTTAAAAAATAACACCGGTTTCTATATACGTTGATTTCCATTTATCAAAACCATTCGAAACATTAGTGTATGGTGTTTCGCTGACTAGCAGCATTGTTCCGTCCTCCATGATTCGACAGTGATTCTTGGGGGCAAAGACTGTGAATTGTACAGGACACATATTTGATACATAAGCTAAATTCAGTTAAATTTACGAAAACCTTTCTATCTTCCCTCTGAATCTGTACTATTCATCCAAAATATACAAGAATTTCGGACAAATATTTGTAACATGTTTATGATATTATCAAAACATTCACAGAAAAATGGCAGATGCAGTTCGTTTTTAACGATTCCACTTTCGATAAAAATATTGCGACATATTGATGTTGAATTTATGATAATGCAGGTTTAAGATTTTCATTTCATTATAACTTGGTTGTAAGGATCTTATAGCAAACTTAATAGGGCAACAGACAAAGGCTATGAAAGCCAGATCATTAGGAAATTAAACAGAATACACATCAACTTAATTACAAAACTACACAAAGATGAATCTAGATATCTGCATAACAGTTATAACATAGTGTGCAATGATGAAATATGAGAAATGTAAAAGGGAAAAATGACAACTAATTCTTTTTATCATTATGCTACACATTTTTTTTAATTTATAAAAATTACCACAAACATCAACCCGTTCCTCAGATCTGGTCAGTAGGTCAGACAAGGTTTAAGATTGGTGCTGTGGATATAGCTCAGAAATATACTACTAGCAAAGTATGTTGATTATTAAAATAGACTTTTTAGAAATAGTGTGTAATGTGATAATCCTACCATGACTTTTACTTCCGGTAAGACAAAGATCACAAGAATCGGCCGTCCTTACGGAAATTGCGCCAAGGATGACGAATTCAAAGCTTTATACAACAAGAGTTACAACCGGCAGGTAAATAACAAAGTCGATAAGGAATCACCTTGTGAGTATCAGTGAGTACATATGTATATAGTTACACTATGTACCAGGTAAACAGTCATTGGAGTTTTATATCAGTAATGAGCTATTTAACCTCAATTATCATTTTCACGGAATTTTCGTTGTAAGATATTTGTTTATCTGTGTTTAACTCAATATAATTTATTATTGTTTATTTTAGTAAGTGTGTACATTTTTCTCTATCAGTCCTGCCTGTTCCTGTGTAAAACCACACAGACATTACAGCGATGTGGATGTTTTGACCCCATGCATGCAGAGATACTATTTAGTGCCAAAAGCTCAAAAAAGGAATGTTCGTCACAAGAAGGTACTTGTTTACCAGATTCTCTCGAGAAAAAATGTTTAATTACATAGTTTGTTTATTTACTTCTAATTGTTATTCAGTTCGTATATCCAGTTTCATAACTTATTGTACACACGGTAAGTAAAAAAATGAAAGAATTCTTTTACTCCCCCCGTCCCCCGTATACCACGATACGGTAGCAACCACTATAAGATATATCCCATGAGACAGTAGGTACCACTATAAGATATTCACCACGAGACGGTATCTACCACTATTAGATATTTACCACGAGACGGTATCTACCACTATTAGATATTTACCACGAGACGGTATCTACCACTATAAGATATATACCACGAGACGGTCTCTACCACTATAAGATATACACCACGAGACAGTCTCTACCACTATAAGATATTTACCACGAGACAGTATCTACCACTATGATATATATACCACGAGACAGTAGCTACCAGTATAAGATATATACCACGAGACAGTCTCTACCACTATAAGATATATACCACGAGACGGTATCTACCACTATAAGATATATACACGAGACAGTATCTACCACTATAAGATATATACACGAGACAGTATCTACCACTATGATATATATACCACGAGACAGTAGCTACCAGTATAAGATATATACCACGAGACAGTCTCTACCACTATAAGATATTTACCACGAGACGGTATCTACCACTATAAGATATATACACGAGACAGTATCTACCACTATAAGATATTTACCACGAGACAGTCTCTACCACTATAAGATATATACCACGAGACAGTAGCTACCACTATAAGATATATACCACGAGACAGTCTCTTCCACTATAAGATATATACCACGACACAGTATCTACCACTATAAGATATATACCACGAGACAGTAACTATCACGAGACAGTAACTACCATTATTAGATATATACCACGAGACAGTAACTACCATTATTAGATATATACCACGAGACAGTCTCTACCACTATTAGATATATACCACGAGACAGTAGCTACCACTATAAGATATATACCACGAGACAGTCTCTTCCACTATAAGATATATACCACGACACAGTATCTACCACTATAAGATATATACCACGAGACAGTAACTATCACGAGACAGTAACTACCATTATTAGATATATACCACGAGACAGTCTCTACCACTATTAGATATATACCACGAGACAGTAGTTACCACTATAAGCTATATACCACGATACGGTATATACCACTGTAAGACATATACCACGAGACGGTATCTACCCCTATTAGATATGTACCACGAGACGGTATCTACCCCTATTAGATATGTACCACGAGACAGTAGCTATCACGAGACAGTAGCTACCACTGTAAGATATATATAACATTACTGATGATAGAGTTTTTCTTTGCAGAAATTAAATGCATGATTAAGACAACTATCCAGCTGACGAAGAAAACGATATCCTGTGAATGTCCTGATCCCTGTTCGTAAGTAACCTGATTTTTGGTAATTAAACGTAAACCATACTTCTCACAATATTCTATGTTTTCTGTCTTGTATAGACAGTTTGACTATTGAAGTCAAAATATGTTGTGGCTGTATTGTATAGAACTGGTATGATATATGTAAAATCCATTCATATTTGATACGATGTAGGACGAATCCCTGTGGGGTGATGCTTGTTCATATGAGTATCTTTATTTACAGAGAAAACTCCTATTCACAACGCCTTACCTCGCGACAGTGGCCCACAGACGGTTATGCAGTGAGTGATTTTCTTAATAGGTTGGATCGAGATTTTTTCTTTAATTTTAATTTTAGTTCGAAAATGTTGTGAAGATTAATTCCTGCTGTCTGATACCAGGTATTGATCTACATAATTTAGGATGGTATTGGTTAAAATTTCTCGACCGTGTGTATATGGCAATAATTGGCTTACACATATAAAAGTCTTATATCTCAGAGTATAGTGATAATTGGATAGACTAACTTCCAAAGAGGCCACAACCAGTTGGAAACGGAATAATAATCAGAAATTGAATGAGCTTGTATGCATAATTATGAAAAATCCACGTTTAGGTTCCATGTAGTGTTTGTATGTATGTATAGATGTTGAAAAATATTGAGTAGATAGGGCGATAGGGTACATTATGTAGATAGCCCCCACCCCCACCCCAACACACACGCCCATTGGACATCTCGTCTATGATATCCTATGACTTTCCTATATAATCATGATAAGAGATAGTGTTTCACTCTTGGCGTATGTACACGTTTTATGTGTAGGATTCGCCTGACGATAATTTCTATTAATGGAAAATTCAACCGATGATGGAGTCAAAAAGACAAATCCTGCATCAGCTGCTGTGGTGTTTTGTTTTCTTTTTGTGTAGCTTCTGTTACTGTTGTGTCCACATTTTTTTTAACCCTGCACCAAAGTGTGGACTATCAACTGATATTGTAATGAGATACAGCTCTTTAAAGAGTAAACGTTTTAGAAAAAGTTGATCATCGAAGAAGAACACTCAAAATTACCTGATACTTTATACACTAATGATGTGTTGTAATTAAAGAAATAGGATTGTGTTGGGACAACGTATATTAATTTGATGTGTAAAATCCTAAAATGGTCATCATGTGTTTCCATCTTTTGTTTTTATAGGAGAAACTTTCTTAAGTTGTCGGTATATTATGAGGAATTGAACTTTCAATCCATACAGGAACAGCCTGATATTGCGGTAGGTATATATATACAGAATATGATAGTGAGGTAGGTATATATATACAGAATATGATAGTGAGGTAGGTATATATATACAGAATGTGATAGTGAGGTAGGTATATATATATATACAGAATGTGATAGTGTAGGTATATATATATATACAGAATATGATAGTAAGGTAGGTATATATATACAGAATATGATAGTGAGGTAGGTATATATATACAGAATATGATAGTGAGGTAGGTATATATATACAGAATGTGATAGTGAGGTAGGTATATATATATATATATATATATATATAAACAGAATATGATTATAGGGTAGGTATATATATATACATAATGTGATAGTGAGGTAGGTATATATATATTAATTTGATGTGTAAAATCCTAAAATGTTCATCATGTGTTTCCATCTTTTGTTTTTATAGGAGAAACTTTCTTAAGTTGTCGGTATATTATGAGGAATTGAACTTTCAATCCATACAGAATGTGATAGTGAGGTAGGTATATATATACAGAATGTGATAGAGGTAGGTATATATATACAGAATGTGATAGTGAGGTAGGTATATATATACAGAATGTGATAATGAGGTAGGTATATATATACAGAATGTGATAGTGAGGTAGGTATATATATATACAGAATGTGATAGTGAGGTAGGTATATATATATATATACAGAATGTGATAGTGAGGTAGGTATATATATATATATATATATATATATATATATATACAGAATATGATTATAGGGTAGGTATATATATATACATAATGTGATAGTGAGGTAGGTATATATATATATATATATATATATATATATATATATATATATATAGATTGTGATACAGGCATATTGATTATTGGTCCTTATGTTTCAGAATGCACAGTTCGCCTCGGATTTCGGCGGCGCTATAGGTCTGTGGATTGGCCTTTCTGTTCTAAGTATGTTTGAGATAATTTACCTGTGTGGTATGATAGGGGGTTATATCATGGAAAAATCGCCTGAACATGTTCCAGCAAAACAACACAGAAAAAAACACAATAAGCGTCCGTATCGAGGTTTAAAATGTTCCTTCTCTCCAAACTACAACTTACATGTATCGCCTTATAGTGATGTTCAGGAGAGAACAACAGAGCGCCTTGGCTCGAACGGGGGACCACTGGAGAAGAAGTTCAATATAAACCGGAAGTTACGATACCCCTCTGCTGATAGTAGAGAGTTCGATGAACATCGTACAATACCAACCAAGTATCACACTAATTATGGCTATAGAAACCAACGTTGGTGAGGATATTCATCGAATATTACTACTAACACGTACAATAGTACATACAAAGTGTATTGAGTTCGCGTTTATGTGAATTTTCTTTCCAGATTATCAAACGAAAAACTTCTAATTTGACGTTTGTCTTTTGAAGACTGTGATGATTTGTTTGGACTGTAAAATAAATACGGAAAGACGATATTCCAAAATGGCCACACTGACTATATTGTGAATTAAAATGTTGATTGTAATTGTATTTGTTTGTTTGTGTTGTTATTTTTAATCGCTTATTGATTTCAGTTTTTTATCGATATTTCGTGAGAATTACAGAACAGATAAAAACAAAATCTCAAAATAGATGTGCATATTCCATTTGATCACCAGATTTAAGACTGATCATGACAACAAAATGGCCGACAGATGGACATCTTGGATTTACACAATGAAAGTTTGTTATCACCCTTTACAAGCTGATTCTTTCTCAGATCTTCATAAGAAGGTTCGCACTTGGATGCTAGTTGTGTCCTTTTCATTTTGGAACTGATAAAAAGACTGACCGAGAGGCGGCCGTCTTTGATTTAACAATTAAAGATTAGTATCTTCCATATAATTGAGAGAAAGAATTGGAGAAAGGATAGAAGAGAAGTGAAAACACCATAGTCTATAAGAACAAAATAAGACCATAAAAGGAAGCTGCCAAGATCCCTGTATGGTCATCTCGTGATTCTTTGTGATAAAATACGAAAATATACGGAATATATGATTGTGTTTTTGAAGTAGTGGGTCTGTGGCACTTGGACATAATCAACAAGATTTACCAATATCCCCTAGGAAACACCAGCTGACGCAAAATTTTGATAATGACAAAATATTGTGTCGGCAACAAGACACAAGTGAAGAGCACCTTTAGATACAAATATAGAACTAGATACAGTAGAGGCAAACAATGAATTAAACTGTATCACACAGCTGGTACGTCCTTCTAGGACTCGTCAGTGATGTTACATCATACAGCTGATTCGTCCTTCTAAGACTCGTTAGTGATGTTACATCATACAACTGTTTCGTCCTTCTAGGACTCGTTAGTGATGCTTCATCATACAGCTGTTTCGTCCTTCTAGAACTCGTCAGTGATGTTACATCATACAGCTGTTTCGTCCTTCTAGGACTCGTCAGTGATGTTACATCAAATAGCTGTTTCGTCCTTCTAGGACTCGTTAGTGATGCTTCATCATACAGCTGTTTCGTCCTTCTAGAACTCGTCAGTGATGTTACATCATACAGCTGTTTCGTCCTTCAAGGACTCGTCAGTGATGTTACATCAAATAGCTGTTTCGTCCTTCTAGGATTCGTCATTGATGCTACATCATACAGCTGTTTCGTCCTTCTAGGACTCGTCAGTGATGTTACATCACTATTATCTACAGTGTGATTTATCAATGTGAATACATACCGCAAGTCTATAAAAGGATTTATAAGGTATTGCAAACACATAGTAATGCAAATTCGAGAATGAATGGGTTTGCTTTGGCATGTCGTCATTACTGGGTATTTCAGTCCTCATGTAGTTATATTCAAAGCTACACAAATCGTTTGGTTCCCGAAAAAACCAACCGGTGAAACGGATATATAGAAGTGGGCAAACCTTTCTCATTCCAGCAAACTTGTGCCAAGTCAGAGATTGGGTTTCTACTCGATTGCGTCACAGGATAACCCAATGATGACAATTGCTAATGGTACCGTATTAAGGGTATATGTGAGAATCTAATTCCAGCTTTGTGAAAAAAGGGACACAAAGCGCTGGAATGGATTTCATCGTTTACTATACTACAACGTTTTACTAGAAATCAGAGGGTTGATATCTGTCCTGCCGTTCTGTGCTGCATTTTCATCAGAGTTGAACCTAAGTTAGAATACTGCTTACCATATGAATATCATCCTATGAGTTCGATATTGGTCAAAATCCGTCATTATTTGACAGAGTTACGGGACTTTAAAATCCATGAAGTAGACAATTTCTTCGTTTCCATCAAATAAGTTATGTTTTGCTCTCGGATTTAAACCAAATTTGTTACGCTATATATCAGCCAGGTCTCGTATCGGTCCAATATTGATCAAAGTCTGTCGACATTTATCAGAGTTACGGGACTTTGACAACATTCAAGTAAATCCGTCAAAAAACTTAAATTTTACTCAATATTATCCACTCTAAGTCAAAAACCCACGACTACACACTCCAGGACAAATACCCACTACTACACACTCCTGGACAAGTACTCACCACTACCCACTCCAGGACAAATACTCACTACTAGACATTCCAGGACAAATACTCACTACTACACACTCCAGGACAAGTACTCACTACTACACACTACAGGACAAATACCCACTACTACACACTACAGGACAAACACTCACGACTACCCACTCCATGACAAATACTCACTACTACACACTACAGGACAAACGCTCACGACTACCCACTCCATGACAAATACTCACTACTACACACTACAGGACAAACGCTCACGACTACCCACTCCATGACAAATACCCACTACTACACACTCCTGGACAAGTACTCACTACTACCCACTCCAGGACAAATACTCACTACAACCCACTCCTTGACAAATACTCACTACTACCCACTCCAGGACAAATACCCACTACTACCCACTCCAGGTCAAATACTCACTACTAGACACTCCACATGTTATAGGACTGGAAATAATGTGTTTCAAGAGAATAAGGTAAAATTGTGTAATGTGTAAAAGAAATGTTACATTATTCTAAATATTTCATTTCAGCAAATGTAGAATTATATGTGATGTGTGTTATGAAATGTAACGCTATTGCATGTGTTTTGATTAAAAAAATCTGAATGGTCGTATCTCAGGTTACAGATAACACAGGTAAAAACACAGGTAAATGAACTATTTTTTTCAAAATATTTAGAGAAAAAATATATTTATACATTTTTTTCCATCTCTCAATTACATTTTTCTATAAAATATCACGTCACATCCTGTTCACCTGTATTTTTGAGGACAAGTTACCTGTTAAAACAACACCTTGGGACACTAGCCACAATTACCAGAAACATACTTTTGGGACAGTTTGGCACCTGGTACACACTAAAATCTATTATATTTATATTTTGGATCTGGCCTTTCAACGAATTCTTTTAAAAATAGACAAACACTCTTTCCATACACTTTATCAACATACACTGATGTGGGGTTCAATGAATGTGTTCAGTTCCCATTATGGCGAGAAATAGCCGATTATATGAGCATGTAATTATTGGACCGTGACGGGGTCAGTTTATACATGTAGGTTTCTTAGCTCAACCGGTTAAGTATATTTTTAGATAACCGAAGAGATGTATCCATTTACTACAGTGGTGTAGACGAATAACAGGATGGACTATCTAATTTACTGAAGCCTCTGTGCATGAAACAAGTGTACAGTTACCGGTGTCGATGAAACCCTGTCGATACGCCTACAGACATGTGAGTGGTGTCTGTCTACAAGGCTTGTAGGGGTTCCACCCGTATATGTGGTCAGTATATATACTGTATAATTGTACTGAGAGCCCGGATACCGTGTGTCAGAGGATAAGATACCTTCATTAGGTAAGTGCTCTAGGCTTAGTGTGTTCTGATTTGTTTTAAACGTTGTCATGATTTCAGTAGTGTGTACACATGTCAGTGACGTATTGTGTAATGTACATGTCACTGCGTAATGTAACTATAATGTCGGTACATCACAACCACGGTGCGAATATCACAATTCAATCTAAACGAAACCGTGACTATATAATTAATATCTTTTTCAGCATAGATATATTGAGAATAGTAATGGAGCTGATTGAAAAATCCTTATTGAAATCGTACACATCGATTTACCATTACAATAAAGATATGATGTCTAATTCTAAATTCTTTATAGATCTAGCTAGATCGACTTCCAAACGTTCACGCGGTCCTGAGTGAGTCATTTATAAAACAGGTTTGCGTTGTTACTTACACTAGTTTTAAAAGTCATTAGAATGAATTCTTAAAAGTCACAGAATAGTCAGAAATTTTGTCACTCGGGTGGAATAGTATAACTCAATATTGTGTCCCAGCGAGGACTGTAACGGGTACAGGGGACAATCTCCCTCCACAGGGGACAATCTCATTCTACAGGGGACAATCTCCCTCCACAGGGGACAATCTCATTCTACAGGGGACAATCTCCCTCTACAGGGGACAATCTCCCTCCACAGGGGACAATCTCATTCTACAGGGGACAATCTCCTTCTACAGGGGACAATCACATTCTACAGGGGACAATCTCATTCAACAGGGGACAATCTCCCTCCACAGGGGACAATCTCATTCTACAGGGGACAATCTCCCTCCACAGGGGACAATCTCCTTCTACAAGGGACAATCTCCTTCTACAGGGAACAATCTCCTTCTACAGGTGACAATCTCCTTCTACAGGGGACAATCACATTCTACAGGAGACAATCACATTCTATAGGGGACAATCACATTCTACAGGGAACAATCTCCTTCTACAGGGGACAATCACATTCTACAGGAGACAATCACATTCTATAGGGGACAATCACATTCTACAGGGGACAATTTCCTTCTACAGGGGACAATCTCCCTCTACAGGGGACAATCTCCCTCCACAGGGGACAATCTCTTTCTACAGGGGACAATCTCCTTCTACAGGGGACAATCTCCTTCCACAGGGGACAATCTCATTCTACAGGGGACAATCTCCTTCTACAGGGGACAATCTCCCTCCATAGGGGACAATCTCATTCTACAGGGGACAATCTCCCTCTACAGGGGACAATCTCCCTCCACAGGGGACAATCTCATTCTACAGGGGACAATCTCCTTCTACAGGGGACAATCACATTCTACAGGGGACAATCTCCCTCCACAGGGGACAATCTCCTTCTACAAGGGACAATCTCCTTCTACAGGGAACAATCTCCTTCTACAGGGGACAATCACATTCTACAGGGGACAATCTCCTTCTACAGGGGACAATCACATTCTACAGGGGACAATCTCATTCAACAGGGGACAATCTCCCTCCACAGGGGACAATCTCATTCTACAGGGGACAATCTCCCTCCACAGGGGACAATCTCCTTCTACAGGGGACAATTTCCTTCCACATGGGACAATTTCATTCCACAGGGGACAATCACATTCTACAGGCTACAATCATATTCTACAAGGGACAATCTCCTTCTACAGGGGACAATCACATTCTACAGGGGACAATCTCATTCAACAGGGGACAATCTCCCTCCACAGGGGACAATCTCATTCTACAGGGGACAATCTCCCTCCACAGGGGACAATCTCCTTCTACAAGGGACAATCTCCTTCTACAGGGAACAATCTCCTTCTACAGGGGACAATCACATTCTACAGGGGACAATCACATTCTACAGGAGACAATTACATTCTACAGGGGACAATTACATTCTACAGGGGACAATCTCCTTCCACAAGATACAATCACATTCTACAGGAGACAATCACATTCTATAGGGGACAATCACATTCTACAGGAGACAATCTCCTTCTACAGGAGACAATCACATTCTACAGGGGACAATCTCCGTCTACAGGTGACAATCTCCCTCCACAGGGACAATCTCATTCTACAGGGGACATTCTCATTCTACAGGGGACAATCTCCCTCTACAGGGGACAATCTCCCTCTACAGGGGACAATCTCATTCTACAGGGGACAATCTCCCTCCACAGGGGACAATCTCATTCTACAAGGGACAATCTCCCTCCACAGGGGACAATCTCATTCTACAGGGGACAATCTCATTCTACAGGGGACAATTTCCTTCCACAGGGGACAATTTCCTTCCACAGGGGACAATCTCCTTCTACAGGGGACAATTTCCTTCCACAGGGGACAATCTCCCTCCACAGGGGACAATCTCATTCTATGATAGTGATTTCTTCTAGTTTTATTTGAACACAGATAATAAAGAAAACTCGGTAGGTGTGTATCGTACAGATCTCCACTGGCCATGTCCTGAAGGTGAAGTGATAGAAAAGCACTAATACAGATTAGATTTAAATCCGAAATCATAACACTTACAAATGGCTGGTAATAAAAACACGTGAACCCTTTTTTCATTTTTTTCCTATAGAGAGATTTATTCAGATCATAAGTCGTTTCCCTTTAGGACGAACATTTATTCATCCCAGTAAAAAGACTATGGCGGAGGATGTGTTTCTAAACTCCCCAAGGAAAATGTATATTTGTACAGGAGATCAGTGTATCGATTACTCAAGTGTTTTGATTTGAATGTTCAGTGAACCATGTCTAGCGATTTTCAGGGTCATCATAGTTTTGGTATTTGTGTGGTATTAATAGAATATTTGCTTGTCTTACCCTAAGTTTCAAACCGGGGGATTCCCCTGTCTGGACAATGATAAGACATCACGTCAACAATTTATTTACGTCACGTCAACAGTTTATTTACGTCAATGATGTGAAGCATTGGGACAACAAAAACTGATACATATCTCCGAGTTCCTAATAAGGCCAACAGGATATAGAGAAAAATAGTTATTCCGTTTGAAAAATATGTTTGAATTGCAATCACTAAGCATGCCTCGTGTTTGCTAACTTAACCACTATTCCCCATGCGTCGAAATCCTCTTATCTCGCCTCCAAAGGTGTGATTATGATCTCACACATGAAAAAAACGTTGATTTACCTGTCCCGGCAAAGTAAGGTACTCCCTTCCCCCTGTATTCAGAGTTGTGTACACTTTCTATCAGGGACTAGACAGATTGTACCCTCTCTGTCACAACACGGTAAAGCTGTCCAGACTTCCGGTCAGAGAAAGACATATTTTCTACCCCCATTAAGCAGATTGTACGCTCTATGTCTCAACACGGTAAAGCTGTCCAGACTTCCGGTCAGAGAAAGATACTCTTGCTATCTCACTTAACAGAGTTGTGTATACTTCCTGTCAGAGAATATTACTCTTTCTACCCCAACTAGACTATACTTCTTTTTACGGAAAGACGTTTTGTACCCCATTAGACAGAGCTGTGTGAACTTCCTGTCCGGGAAAGACACTATTTGTACTCCACTAGACAGAACTGTGTGAACTTCCTGTCCAGGAAAGACACTATTTGTACCCCATTAAACAGAGCTGTGTGAACTTCCTGTCCGGGAAAAACACTATTTGTATTCCACTAGACAGAACTGTGTGAACTTCCTGTCCAGGAAAGACTCTATTTGTACCCCACTAGACAGAGCTGTGTGAACATCCTGTCCGGGAAAGACACTATTTGTACCCCATTAAACAGAGCTGTGTGAACTTCCTGTCCGGGAAAGACACTGTTTGTACTCCACTAAACAGAGCTGTGTGAACTTTCTGTCCGAGAAAGACACTATTTGTACCACACTAGACAGAAATGTCTACATTTCTAGTCAGTGTCTGAACACACGGAACAATAGCTAAGACTGAAGTTGAAATAAGAACTATTAAACTGAAACAACCCTATTTACGTGTATTCATTGTAGAAATACAAAACGATTAAAAAAATGTTAGCATCGCAGTCACCGTCATTCCCCCTTATTTTCCATATAGAATACTGCAAATATTCAAACATATCTACATCATAATGAAATATTGCAGCACATTTGAAGTATTTTCCCAGTTATAAAGAAAATTACAACAAAAGGGACAATGGCTTAGCTTGTCTATATATCTATATAATAATTTTTTGTAGAATTAAAACACTGTAAGAATTTACTTAATTTATTTCAGAAAAAATGGACGAAAACGAAGAACAACCTGAGATGAAAAAGAAAACTCTTAAACGTGTTTTCTCGAGATTTTCTGAGAAGACGACGATGCACGCCGCACCCTATATCAATAGTGCTACATACACTACTGCTAAAGTAATATGGTCGTTCCTACTAGTAGCCGGCCTCGGGGCAATGACACTGCATCTTTACTTCCTGATCAATAATTTCATACAATGGCCAAAGAAAACGACGCTAACACTTGGATTCAGCAATTTGGAACTTCCCGCCATCACAATTTGTAATGTAAACCCTGTTCGGAAATCCCAACTATACAGGACGAGCGACAAGTTGCAAGACTTGGTAGACATAGTGGATCCTGTAAAATACTTCGTAAGTCGGCCTTGAAAGTTAAAACGGTTAAAGCAAACGAAAATATACTTATGTAACTTCCAAGTTATAACAGAAGTTATTTGATTAACAACTTTGGCCTCGAAAGTCTCAGCAAGTTAGACTCCCAGCATCACTGACGAGTCCTACAGGGGTCTCATGTTGTCTCTAATGCCAAATTTGTATTCAAAGATGTCAATTAGAAGTGTATGTATGATAAATCATTATTTAAGATAGATGTACACAGACAAATAGCTCGATAGACATTTTTATCGTTGTACGGAATGTAACCAGCAGTGATATTCTACAAAAGGTTATCTCGACACATGTGTATCTCTAAATATCTCGACATCGTTTTCGATTTGATAGAATAATTTCAACAGAAACTATTTCGATATACACAACGTCATGGACGTTTCGATAAATATAGCATTCCCAACGTCTGGGCGACCTATTCGGTGAATAGATGGTGAATAGCGTTAACTAAAAGCTTGTACACTTGTAAATTCAGAAATCTCAGCGACACCGAAAACATTGATTTTTTTTTAGTTTATATCCGTCTCCATGTGTTTTGTGTCTCTCAGTCACGATACAGGTCACGATTTTCAGCTATGTCAGGATACAGAATACACCCTATTTAACTTGCAGCTCTTTTCTATGCTTCATTCACACGTGTCCTATGTACATACTGGTGTAGTATTGGCGAGCTCTGGGAGGTCGGTTAACTGAAGCGTGGATTATTTGTATCATATTACTAGTCCTTCATACAATGTAAATATTTCTAAATAACACTTTATGTCAAAATATTGACAGAAAACATCGATCTTTCTGGTCACATTTCGTAACGCCATGTCTATAAGCAGTAACCACCAATTTTGAAGTGCTGAATCCTAAGTGACAGGATCTTCCCACTAAACGAATTCCACCTCGCTGTGAATATCTCGCTAATGATATGATGCGTAAGAAATGACAATGTCCTTTTTTTTATTTATTTACACCGTGTGTCATTATGTATATCCTAATAGTACACGGGCTATAGAAGTCAACAATTAGGTATCGTCTATCTTCTGACGACCTAAAACGGTTCAAATTTTATAATTTTAAATCTTTTTTCTTGTAACAAGAGCCAACTTATTCCAAATATAATTCTTGCTCGCAATGTCGTCGTGGTTTAAGACAAATCTAAAATTATCCCCGGCTTCCCCGATCAATAAACCGACAAAAGTGAGAAACAGGTACAAAAGTCTTATATGCAGCAATGGAAAATTCCATTTTTTTCAGAATCTGAACGATTTTAAAATTCATTACTGTACTTAATTGTTTCTTTCAAACAACTTACTCGTACCAAAACATTGATGTATCTGACCTGACAACTTGTGTCAGTAAAACCGATTAGTATCGATAATTTATAATTTGATTTAATTGGGAATTAATCAGGAAAACAGAAGAAAGAAGAGGTTTGTGGATGCCTTGGACAACAGGAACTTGAGTACCTACGATGACGAGACGGACTATGATGAATACTATGACTATTATGATAACCAAGATGACTATGAAAATGACGAATTTGAAGGTCCGAGGGACAAGTTAGCAGAAATCAACAGCATATTCACTGAACTGTATATGAAGGAAGAAATGTAAGATTTTTTTTAATGGTTTTCTAATATCAATTAAACTGGCTATTAAAATACCCTCTCCATTAGGTAAGTGTGTGTGAAATCATTAATTAGAATTGTTTGTGAAATTATATGTGTGAGATCGATATATTTACGGACGATTTCAATTAAAAATCGATAAATCGAAAACAAATTATTAATTAAGACACGACACCAGTTGTTCGGAAACCTTGCTATCTCCTGTTCCATGTTGCAAACATTTTATTTTGACCGGGTTCATTTCAATGGAGAAATCGGCGTGGTTTCTTTTAATGAAGTGAAATTATAGAACTCACATCGCATCTTTCCTTTTTTTAACTGTTTTACTTTTGAATTTTTTTACATTTGTTTATTTTTCAAAACTTGAGAAATCATATCTCTTAGCGAATTTTTATAATCTTTTACACATAATGAAAGCAATCAGAAACATGATTTAAAGAGTTGAAAAAAATAGTGTTTTGTACTGTTTCTGATGAGAGGAAGAAGACAGCTATAGATAGGAAAAGATGGAGGAAACGGTATCTGTGCAATTTTTACTGTGGAATTATTGATTTATTCAATGTAACTATTACAGTGATTGAAATAAAACCATTTACATTGAACAGGGGTGTCCGGGAAGAGATTGGCCATAATATCTATAGGATGCTCATGCGCTGTATCTTTAGTCGTTTCTCGTGCTCGGCAGAGTAAGTATCATGGACAAACATAGCCTTGTGTTAGTAACCTGTGGCTTCTAAGTGTGTTATATGGTCAAGTGTAGAAACTGCTGGGTAGTTCTGTGGATAGTGTTCCGTAAGATTGCTTCTTTGCGGGTCTTGTCAGGTTCAAAGTTCTGTTATAATACATATATATACGGGATATAGAGCTTTATAAGGTTGGTAAATTTTCTATTCTTTTCGAAATTGGTAACATTCTATTATTTCGAGGTCTAATACTAAGCGAGATTTGTAACGTCCTATTATTTCGAGGTCTGATACTAAGGGAGATTTGTAACGTCCTATTATTTCGAGGTCTAGTACTAAGCGAGATTTGTAACGTCCTATTATTTCGAGGTCTGTTACTAAGCGAGATTTGTAACGTCCTATTATTTCGAGGTCTGATACTAAGCGAGATTTGTAACGTCCTATTATTTCGAGGTCTAGTACTAAGCCAGATTTGTAACATCCTATTATTTCGAGGTCTAGTACTAAGCCAGATTTGTAACATCCTATTATCTAGTACTAAGGGAGATTTGTAACGTCCTATCATTTCGAGGTCTGATACTAAGCGAGATTTGTAACGTCCTATTATTTCGAGGTCTGATACTAAGCGAGATTTGTAACGTCCTACTATTTCGAGGTCTAGTACTAAGCGAGAGTTGTAACGTCCTACTATTTCGAGTTCTTATACCAAACAAAATTGGTAATATTCTATCTATTTTTGTCATGTCTGAGTCTGATTTTTAAAAAAATCAATATTACAGAAGCTTTTGTAACTAAATCATGATTCATTGTTGATTTCTATGAGAAATCAAATACACTGTGCTCGATAAAATTGTTCTTTTATATTTTACTTTTAGCAATTTCACCTTGTTCCAATCTCAGCAATATGGCAACTGTTATACATTAGACCAAAAGAAAATGATTGTAAAAGAGTCTGGCCCTGAAAGAGGTATGTATGTTGTAAATGTATGTCCCATGACTTCGAGAAAACTCTAGTTACCATCTCTAGTGTAGCTAATCCAATGTAAAATATCACATTAAATACAGTCTCTTAATGTGTATGTTTTACTGCATGTGGATGCCAGAAACCTCATTATTCCATTCATATGATTATATTCGTCTCAATGAAAACCTAAACAAAACAAAAGGATTGTTTACATATAATGTAACTTTAGGATATGTGCTTATCAAGAATCAGGAGAGCCATCTGCGCGTTCTTGCAGGAATTTCTGAAATTATTACCTGTGTTTGAAAAATGGCGAACGATTTTGAGCGGAACTTAAAATCACTTGACGATGATTTAATAAAACAAATAACGGAGATTCTCATGTTAAGAAAGAAGTTTTGTAAATGTCACCTTTGTGAACACGATCAGTCTTGTTTTCTTTCAAACCTTTTAAAGTAAATATGCTTTTTTTAAGTGAATGTTTGCTATTCAAACCAAGAATACATACCAGACAATGACTTTCTTTATATGGCAGTCAATTTCGTTTCGCTTGAATAAACACTTTACCTGATGTCGGTAACTATTAATATGTTAGGAAAATTTACAGAGAGAAAATCACTGATCGTAAACATTTTATTGATGGTGTCAGGGCTTACCTTGATGCTGTATACGGAGAATTATGAATACCTGGATGGAATCACAGATGGCTACGGAGCAAGAGTGCATATCCATGCCCGTGACACATTTCCGTTTCCGTATCAATCTGGCTTCTTTGTACAGACAGGGCATGAAACTACCGTCGCCCTAAAACAGGTAACCACAAGTACTTTACACAGAAAAAGAAATTATCATTATCTTGAAACATGCAGACACACCAACGTCACCACTAACAGTGACAGAATACGAAACTACCATCACCCTAAAACATGTAGACACAAACACCAACGTCACCACTAACAGTGACAGAATACGAAACTACCATCACCCTAAAACATGTAGACACAAATACCCATGTCACCACTAACAGTACACAGAATACGAAACTATCATCACCCTAAAACATGTAGACACAAACACCAACGTCACCACTAACATTACACAGAATACGAAACTACCATCACCCCTTAAACATGTAGACACAAACACCAACGTCACCACTAACAGTGACAGAATACGAAACTACCATCACCCTAAAACATGTAGACACAAACACCAACGTCACCATTAACAGTACACAGAATACAAACTACCATCACTCTAAAACATGTAGACACAAACACCAACGTCACCATTAACAGTACACAGAATACGAAACTACCATCACCCCTTAAACATGTAGACACAAACACCAACGTCACCACTAACAGTGACAGAATACGAAACTACCATCACCCTAAAACATGTAGACACAAACACCAACGTCACCATTAACAGTACACAGAATACGAAACTACCATCACCCCTTAAACATGTAGACACAAATACCAACGTCACCACTAACATTACACAGAATACAAAACTACCATCACCCTAAAACATGTAGACACAAACACCAACGTCACCACTAACGTTATATAGAATACGAAACTACCATCACCCTATAACATGTAGACACAGATACCAACGTCACCACTAACGTTATATAGAACGCATCTTGTTTTACAAACACCATCGTCATCATTAACATCAGACCGAACAACACAAAACAAGCATCACCCTTTCCCTTATACGGGTAGAATCATTCACTCAAGCCACTATTAACATCAGACAGAAAGCAAAGCTACGATGAAATGAAAAATTAAAACATCTAGACACAAATCACGGCGTATTCATTAACGTTAGACAGAGTATTAATTTACCATCAAATTCAAAATCTAGACACAAACAACAGTGTATTCTACAACGTCAGACAGAACAGGAAACTACCACCATCCTGATAGATACTACATTATAGTCTGATTATCATAGGACCTGTTATTGAGTTTTCTTAATAATGCAGAAAATAATAAGCATTTGGTGTACAAGAATCGGAAGTAGGTACATCTCTTCCGTGAAAAGTTGTCATGTCTAAAATGTGTCTAAAATTCTAACATTTTCATGTTTTTTGTTTTGCAAAGTTTTGATACATGTTTGAGATCATGACTGAACTGTGCCATTGTTTGAATGGACTCGTTATGGGGATTACATTTTGATTGATTTACCTAACAGACGCAGATAAATCGGATATCGAAACCACACGGCAATTGTGCATCAAGTCAAGAATTCAGAGATTTTTACAACAAAACGTACACCAGGCAGGTTAGTATAAGCCACACATGAACAATGTACCAGTTCTAATGGGTTTGTTTATGTTCTTGTGATGTTCGTAATTATTAACATTGCCAACTTTTTGAGAACATGACATTACTTAAATTCACCTACATATACATGAACTTGAAGGTTCTCATTGATGGATTAAAAAAGGCATCAAACACGCGTTATACCTTGCATGTATATATGGTAAAATACTTTAATATTTCATATTACTTAAAACTGTTCTGAGCGTGTAAAATTGAAATTGTCTTCTGAAACATTCAGGCGTGTATGTACCTATGTAGACCAACTGAAATAGTGAAGCGATGCGGTTGCTATGACGACTATGACATTGACCTGTTCTATGGAAGTTCGAAGAGGATGTGTACCAGCGGGTCAGGTAAGTATCCTCAATTCAACATGGAGCTAGGGAAAATCCAGTAGTTCCTCACGTACATAATACAGTCGAAATTCGTTACCTAGAAATTCAAGGGACCGTGGAAAACATTTCGACTTAAGCGAAGTATGTAAATAAGGTTGACGATATCAGTTTGCTGACGTTGATTTCGCCTGAACGAAGTAAGGCTACGATAGCGCGCAAACAGCGTAGTTTAATCTGATATTTAAAATGGCAGTAAGTAAACAAATAAATTTATACCTTCTTTCTCCTTTTATTGTTTATTCATCCACACAACAAAACATGCCATAACTCCAATACATACATTTGTACTCACGTCGTTCCGTCCAGCACACGTGTGCAATACCTTACTGGCCTTACTGACATATACTTTATATATTTTACGGTGTTTTAAATTTTGTAACTAATGTTAAAATAAAAATTAAAAAAAAAAACAAACAAAAAAAAAAAAACAAAAAAACAAAAAAAACAAACAAGTATATGTATCTAGATATCCTTACTATTTCGGTTGTCCCACGTGTCTTCAGCCTAAAGACACCAATTCTAACATTCTTACAAAAAGTCTTGTACTTACAGACCACTCTTCACTAACCTGTCCCTATAGATAATTTGAGTGTGTTTTTATTTGTATATTTTACCGTTGATATCATTTTACCTCTATCCACAGACTATAAGTGTGTTTACAAGGTCCAAAACGACATTTTCAACAAGAAGATCACGTGTTCCTGTACAGATCCTTGTGTGTAAGTATAAACGTCTTGGTCCCGTTTTGTGTTCACTTTGGTAGGTTTTAAAAATTATGTTTGTATGTTTGGAGATTTATCAATTGTAGTCATTACGTTAAACATATACAAGTCATATTTGGTGTGCACTTTGTTCACTATTGTAAGCATGAAGTGGTCTGGAATTGGACAACATCCAGGATACACTTGGCCTAGAGGTCACTCTTCACTATTGTAAGCATGAAGCGGTCTGGAATTGGACAACATCCAGGATACACTTGGCCTAGAGGTCACTATTCACTATTGTAAGTATGAAGCGGTCTAGAATTGGACAACATCCAGGATACACTTGGCCTAGAGGTCACTGTTCACTATTGTAAGCATGAAGCGGTCTGGAATTGGACAACATCCAGGATACACTTGGCCTAGAGGTCACTCTTCACTATTGTAAGCATGAAGCGGTCTGGAATTGGACAACATCCAGGATACACTTGGCCTAGAGGTCACTGTTCACTATTGTAAGCATGAAGTGGTCTGGAATTGGACAACATCCAGGTTACACTTGGCCTAGAGGTCACTGTTCACTATTGTAAGCATGAAGTGGTCTGGAATTGGACAACATCCAGGATACACTTGGCCTAGAGGTCACTGTTCACTATTGTAAGCATGAAGCGGTCTGGAATTGGACAACATCCAGGATACACTTGGACTAGAGGTCACTGTTCACAATTGTAAGCATGAAGCGGTCTGGAATTGGACAACATCCAGGATACACTTGGCCTAGAGGTCACTCTTCACTATTGTAAGCATGAAGCGGTCTAGAATTGGACAACATCCAGGATACACTTGGCCTAGAGGTCACTGTTCACTATTGTAAGCATGAAGCGGTCTGGAATTGGACAACATCCAAGATACACTTGGCCTAGAGGTCACTGTTCACTATTGTAAGCATGAAGCGGTCTGGAATTGGACAACATCCAGGATAAACTTGGCCTAGAGGTCACTGTTCACTATTGTAAGCATGAAGTGGTCTGGAATTGAACAATATTCGGAATACACTTGGCCTAGAGGTTCACCGTTCACTGAAGTTAGTTTACACGTTTTATACGATCACATCATTAGGTCACAACTGCAGACACACATGTACGTAATATATGTACCTTGGTGTGTGGAAATCACTGCTGTCACTCTTGGTACGTTTTCTCTTACGTTAATCATGTTTGAAACCAATAAAAACAACAAGAAAATACCAACACGTCAACACAATCATGATCCAAACTCAAATTCAGTAAAAAGGGTATACATAAACGGAACCAATAGGCAAACTAACGAGCATCAAACACGTCCAGCTTCATATCGCACAAAGGAAAGGAACATTTTTTTCAAAGAAATCACTATTACGACAACAGTGAAATTTTCCCATAATTTTCATCAGCTTGCACCTTTTGAAACTCTCGTCGGAGTTTCTCCGTTAGTTTACGACTTAATACACGAAAATCCTGATGATGGGAACAGTTTCTTGATAATCAAAACTGCGACATGGAAAAAAAACACTCTAGGTTTGGGATGAAGGAATGTTGCTATCCAGAGATGGAGAATTCACAATAAAGAATCGAAATCATCAGGCATATCACACAGCTTAATGTGAATATGCCAATGCTGGTTTCGATGTAGGAAAAGATCGAGATAAGCGGCTGATGTAGCGGCCAATTTCCTTGTACCTAAGGATTTCCTTGCAAGATGTCGGCAGCTGACAAAGGGTTGCAAGAGTTGCAGGTTGATGAAGATTATGGGGAAATGATATAATCGTTATAATGATCTCATCGCGAAATTTTCTATATATTTGTATGATATCAAGCTGGACATGTTTGATTCTCCAAACTCACTGACAATATAGTTAGTTCGATCGGTAATTTTCCGAGCCTTTCATTTTACTTCTATCAAAGACACAATAACTCCACAGAGACTTCTATAATGGACACAAACACTCCACAGAAACAGATCACTTAAGCGTTTGAATACGCCCTCTAAAGCTTGGCTATTCTACCAAACTTTGGAGCGTTTGTTTAAATAGTTGCTAAACGGGTCATGTGTACAGTCCCTGTAAGTAAATACACACAACTGGACATTGTTAATTGACTATTCGGGACTAGCAAATCAATAACATTTTTCATATATGTGTTTTGAAAAAAATATAAGATTTAGGTCGAGTGTTATGTGTCTAACATATTCTGACTTCACGATGGATATCTGTAGAGTTTCGTGTAAATTTTCAGAATAGAAACTAGATTTACATAGTCTTATTATATCTATAACATTTCACTTTACGTCTTTGGCTTTGCTTATGTTTGAAAACTACCCAAGATAGATTATTTGGAAATTTTCTGCGTTGACACTTTTAAAGCTTAGAATACAAATAAAGTACGCACGTGTAATTCCTCGGATAAATTGGAGAGTGTCAGGGTTGCTGTAGCAGTATAAATCAGTATAAACTGTATATTATCTTTAATTTCTTTCAAAAATAGTCATATTTACTTGTATGTTTTTCTCCCAATTCTTCAGTCATTATTTGCATTGCTTTTACTGTTTGTGTTTGATCTAGGGAAACCGATTTTAATTTGGAAATAGCATCAAGACAATGGCCAACCGAAAAGTATGCGGTAAGCACATGTATTATTATCAAGATGTTTCAAATATGCTATAAAACATCTCATTATCTTTATTTCTGTAATTCCTGGTCACATTTATAATCATGGTGTCCGAAATCCCAAATTAAAATATGATATATTGGCTACCTTTTAAAAACCCTGGTACCCCCCTAGAGAGGTGTCCTCATATTATATACAAAGTTGAAAAAGAATTCCAAAATTGAATGGATGTGGCAAACAGATCGCTGGATCCTTGATACTAATATATAAACTTCTGTGTATCTGGATAGCGACAGCATTCATATTGGTATTTGTACTGGTCATATATTTTCTGTTTTAAATATTCTATATTATCCTTGTTGTTCCAGTATCTGCTCCGGGAGTCGGTATGCGAGGATCTTCCAGATGACTGTGAGATTTTGAGAAATTCCACAGTGGAAGGCCTGGGGTAAGTCACTAAAAACATATTAGATAATCATAAGGGGATTTACGGGAAAATAAACGTTTTTTTTTTTTTTTTTTTATGAAACGAATATTATACAGAAATATTGAAGATCATCGAGTAAAAAAACAGGTGATCATTTTAACCCTTATTGAGTGAATAAACATTAAATTTGATGATATACCGCGTGTGTTACGACAGGTGTAATATAGCATTTGGTACAGTTGTTAAATATGACATGTAATCTATCTTTATGGTAAGTAATTACTTGTCTTTTTTATATTTATTTTTAGGAGAAATTTTATAAAGCTTGTAATATATTATAAACAGCTAAACTACCAGTACCTGAAGGAGGAGCCAGACATTGAGGTAACATCCAATTACTGTGTTGTTTTAAATTCAGACATATTCAGTTTGCATCGTCCATTATACCCTTAATTCCTTTGTAACATTACAATTCTTTATCAATATGTCCAAATATATAACATTTTTACAACGTTTCAGCGTTTAAAATCACTTTCCTTACTATTTGGATTTCGTAAATTCTGTTTTTATCGCAACTTTTAAGTTTGCATCCCCTGTTTATATGTTAGTCCATGCAATGAAGCGTTCTCATTATGAGAACCGAGGTAAAGCAACAAAGATACCAAGTTTACATACGAGCCTTAAATATATTCATCTTCACATCACACAAGGAAAGTACCAAGTTACCTAACAAGTCCCGATTACATCTAACTTGATATCGCATGGGGAAATAAAGCATTCATCACCAATGTTTGTGATCTTGCCAAAAAATGTACTGCCTTTTCGCAAAAATAAATTGCAAGGGTTCACTGGCTGTCAGTTTTCACTCATAACTGCAGGAAGGTGTTTATTTTGTGTTGGTATTTTTTATAGTGACTTCCAATTTCACCATCGCTAGGTGTTGTCAGAAATACAATCACTTTCTTTCGTCATGGCCAATGTTCAAATTTGAAAGAGAAAAAAATAGAAAATACCAACATGATAAGATAATCATAATCCAAACTCAAATTAAATAATACTACGGCAAAATATGAATAAAAGACTTAACACGAAGACTTCCGCAAAAGTACAAGGATGAAAAGACCAGGTGTTCCGGAAGAGTAAGCGTCTTCAATCCTACTGGTAACAAATGAATATTTCGATATGTACTGTGCAATCGGAAAAGACAAATGTTGTTTGTAAATATTGGTTATACCCTCATCATCTTTCATTATCTACTAACTGACAAATTTTAACCACACTTGTCCCGCAATGCTTGATGACCCATGTTATCGTGTTCTTCTGTACAGAAAATACTAGAACACAAAGGAATTAATCGGGCTTGTTTTCTATAAATAATGACATGTCTTTGCTTTGCAGAATTCACAATTTGCCTCGGACGTTGGTGGAGCAATTGGACTGTGGATTGGTTTATCCATTCTAAGCATATTTGAGATAATCCAACTGATTGTAGAATTAGTTGGGTATTGCATTTACCGAAATGAGTTAAAGGATAATAACAGAAAACGACAAAACGACCCACCAAAGAGGTATGAAAATGACAATAGGCGGTTTAAAGACAGACCCGTGTATTATGTTGCCAATTCTCGTGACAACGATGGTGACCGATATGCACCTCCGCCGTCATGGCAACAATCCCAGGAGTTACCGGAAGTTAGACTGTATAAAGGAGGATCGTCACATAACGGGTCTATATATAGCTCACAATACGCACGACCATCATACTGATCGATAGTATCAGTCAACACTTGTTTATAAATCACATTATACGTTAATTGGTAGAATCTGTCACACTGTTTGGGCTGTTTTTGGCTGTCAATATATATCTTCTTGTTTCATTGCTTGTCTCAATGCTTGGCATTATTGTTGACGCTACAATATTGAATGACCAATGTGACGTCTTGGAATTATTGCTGTGACGTCATACCATTGCTCTGACTGGAGAATCCCGTCTTCCCACGGGTATATACTGTAAGAAATTTTACATCTCACTTAAGGCGTGTACACGTGTACACACCTGTCAGGAGTAAAAGAAAAAAATATCGATTGTAAGATAGTTATCAACCATATTACTAACATTAATGATGTTGAAATGGTATTTGTTTAGATAGGATCCATTCACGTTAAACTATGGATATATTTACTCAGATTAAACAGCCACCGCTGTTCACAAACAAATCCCACTCGGTTGCTTAGAGAAGCAGAAAATGTTGTTCAAACTTTTTACATATTTTTTTCTTTGGGGAATTAAACAGAAAGAAAATGAACACGAATCAGATCCAATAAATCCCGACGAAGACTGCGCAACTTATCAATATGTATTATAATTATAATTAGGACGCTTATATCTATGCAGCATTTTTATGAGGATACATTTATCAGCGTCTTGTTGCAGATGTTATTAATTTTATATAAGTGTCCTTTTGATAGTTTCCTGTCCCACACAGTAGGAGGTTTAAGAGGTATTTGTTTATTATATTGACTTTTAAGAATTTACTTATTTGTTTTTTTTTAATTTGTCCACGACTTTATTCGATATACACACGTGCCTATGTAATAAAAAGTTATGAATTTGATAACTAATCAGTGTTTTTTTTTTATTATTATTTCTTTTTTTTGTTTGTAAAAAAATCCTCAAAATTAAATATATTTCAATTAGAAGTGTGTTTGTTATTTATTTATAATGAAATTTAAATGTCGAGGTTATGTTATGCAAGAGTGATTAAGAAAACTGGCAAGAAAACAGCAGTGATTCGGCCAAACGTCGGCACCATGTTGATTGAGCATGACGCAATGCCATGTACATATGGAATATCAAATGCTATATAATTCCCGCCAAATAACACAATCGACACGGAGATGAACGTTTTACAGATATGGCTCCAAGCTAAACTAATGTTCACAATCGGCATAGCTAAACTAGTAATAGGAAGGTCCACCCCAGGATAACTCAGATCATTTTGGATATAATCCCCAAGCAGAGAAAGGAAATTTTTAAAAAAATGGGACTATTTCATTTGCTGAGTCCCATCCCTAACGGCCGAGACTTATCATTTAGACAAAATATATTCCTCTTTACCACAAAGATGCTTCTGACCAAAGTGGGGCAGAATCCTGGCATTCCTACAGAATAAGAGAGATTTTAAACAAATTTCTCTATTTCCCTATTGGACTCGTCAATCAAGCTATAGCGGGTCACGACCCACTTTTTATATATTGATTCAACTTTCCCCAAGGATGCTTCGGACTCAATTAGAACCGATTCCTGGTATTCCTACGGAATTGCTTTATTTCCCACTTTACCAGCAGATGCTTCGGAACAAATTTGGCGCCAAACTATACGTCTGATACACTATCGGCCCATATAACTTAATTGGCGCGATGATAGTCTAATGTTATACAATACAAGCTGCTCGATTATATTTTACAAAACCTTCGATAAAGTTCCATTTTCTGAACTACTGTCTAATCTCAAATCCTGCGGTGTTAATCCTGGAACTGTTGATTGGTTTTCTTGTCTCCGAAGTAACCGACATCAAAGCTTGGACACTAACGGTCACTGCTCTGATGTGACCCTGTCATCTGTTGGTTTTCTGGTCTCCGAGGTAACAGACATCAATGCTTGGACACTAACGGTCACTGCTCTGATGTGACCCTGTCATCTGTTGGTTTTCTGGTCTCCGAGGTAACAGACATCAATGCTTGGACACTAACGGTCACTGCTCTGATGTGACCCTGTCATCTGTTGGTTTTCTTGTCTCCGAGGTAACAGACATCAATGCTTGGACACTAACGGTCACTGCTCTGATGTGACCCTGTCATCTGTTGGTTTTCTTGTCTCCGAGGTAACAGACATCAATGCTTGGACACTAACGGTCACTGCTCTGATGTGACCCTGTCATCTGTTGGTTTTCTTGTCTCCGAATTAACGGACATCAAAGCTTGAACACTAACGGACTCTGCTCTGATGTGACCCTGTCATCTGTTGGTTTTCTGGTCTCCGAGGTAACAGACATCAAAGCTTGGACACTAACGGTCACTGCTCTGATGTGACCCTGTCATCTGTTGGTTTTCTTGTCTCCGAATTAACGGACATCAAAGCTTGATCACTAACGGACTCTGCTCTGATGTGACCCTGTCATCTGTTGGTTTTCTGGTCTCTGAATTAACGGACATCAAAGTTTGAACACTAACGGACTCTGCTCTGATGTGACCCTGTCATCTGTTGGTTTTCTTGTCTCCGAGGTAACAGACATCAAAGCTTGATCACTAACGGACTCTGCTCTGATGTGACCCTGTCATCTGTTGGTTTTCTGGTCTCTGAATTAACGGACATCAAAGCTTGATCACTAACGGACTCTGCTCTGATGTGACCCTGTCATCTGTTGGTTTTCTGGTCTCTGAATTAACGGACATCAAAGCTTGAACAATAACGGACTCTGCTCTGATGTGCCCCTGTCATCTGTTGGTTTTCTTGTCTCCGAGGTAACAGACATCAAAGCTTGATCACTAACGGACTCTGCTCTGATGTGACCCTGTCATCTGTTGGTTTTTTGGTCTCCGAAGTAACAGACATCAAAGCTTGATCACTAACGGACTCTGCTCTGATGTGACCCTGTCATCTGTTGGTTTTCTGGTCTCCGAATTAACGGACATCAAAGCTTGATCACTAACGGACTCTGCTCTGATGTGACCCTGTCATCTGTTGGTTTTCTGGTCTCTGAATTAACGGACATCAAAGCTTGATCACTAACGGACTCTGCTCTGATGTGACCCTGTCATCTGTTGGTTTTCTGGTCTCCGAATTAACGGACATCAAAGCTTGATCACTAACGGACTCTGCTCTGATGTGACCCTGTCATCTGTTGGTTTTCTGGTCTCCGAAGTAACAGACATCAAAGCTTGATCACTAACGGACTCTGCTCTGATGTGACCCTGTCATCTGTTGGTTTTTTGGTCTCCGAATTAACGGACATCAAAGCTTGATCACTAACGGACTCTGCTCTGATGTGACCCTGTCATCTGTTGGTTTTCTGGTCTCTGAATTAACGGACATCAAAGCTTGATCACTAACGGACTCTGCTCTGATGTGACCCTGTCATCTGTTGGTTTTTTGGTCTCCGAAGTAACAGACATCAAAGCTTGATCACTAACGGACTCTGCTCTGATGTGCCCCTGTCATCTGTTGGTTTTCTTGTCTCCGAGGTAACAGACATCAAAGCTTGGACACTAACGGTCCCTGCTCTGATGTGACCCTGTCATCTGTTGGTTTTCTGGTCTCCGAATTAACGGACATTAAAGCTTGATCACTAACGGACTCTGCTCTGATGTGCCCCTGTCATCTGTTGGTGTTTTGGTCTCCGAATTAACGGACATCAAAGCTTGATCACTAACGGACTCTTCTCTGATGTGCCCCTGTCATCTGTTGGTTTTCTGGTCTCCGAATTAACGGACATCAAAACTTGATCACTAACGGTCCCTGCTCTGATGTGCCCCTGTCATCTGTTGGTTTTCTGGTCTCCGAATTAACGGACATCAAAGCTTGATCACTAACGGACTCTGCTCTGATGTGACCCTGTCATCTGTTGGTTTTCTGGTCTCCGAATTAACGGACATCAAAGCTTGAACACTAACGGGCATTGCTCTGATGTGACCCTGTCATCTGTTGGTTTTCTGGTCTCCGAATTAACGGACATCAAAGCTTGATCACTAACGGACTCTGCTCTGATGTGACCCTGTCATCTGTTGGTTTTCTGGTCTCCGAATTAACGGACATCAAAGCTTGATCACTAACGGACTCTGCTCTGATGTGACCCTGTCATCTGTTGGTTTTCTGGTCTCCGAATTAACGGACATTAAAGCTTGAACACTAACGGGCATTGCTCTGATGTGACCCTGTCATATGTTGGTTTTCTGGTCTCCGAATTAACGGACATCAAAGCTTGAACACTAACGGGCATTGCTCTTTTGTGCCCCTGTCATCTGTTGGTTTTCTGGTCTCCGAACGGACATCAAAGCTGCACTCGGACATTGCTCTGATGTGACCCTGTCATCTGTTGGTTTTCTGGTCTCCGAATTAACGGACATCAAAGCTTGAACACTAACGGTCCCTGCTCTGATGTGACCCTGTCATCTGTTGGTTTTCTGATCTCCGAATTAACGGACATCAAAGCTTGAACACTAACGGTCCCTGCTCTGATGTGACCCTGTCATCTGTTGGTTTTCTTGTCTCCGAGGTAACAGACATCAAAGCTTGATCACTAACGGACTCTGCTCTGATGTGACCCTGTCATCTGTTGGTTTTCTGGTCTCCGAATTAACGGACATCAAAGCTTGATCACTAACGGACTCTGCTCTGATGTGACCCTGTCATCTGTTGGTTTTCTGGTCTCCGAATTAACGGACATCAAAGCTTGAACACTAACGGGCATTGCTCTGATGTGACCCTGTCATCCGTTGGTTTTCTGGTCTCCGAATTAACGGACATCAAAGCTTGATCACTAACGGACTCTGCTCTGATGTGCCCCTGTCATCTGTTGGTTTTCTGGTCTCCGAATTAACGGACATCAAAGCTTGATCACTAACGGACTCTGCTCTGATGTGACCCTGTCATCTGTTGGTTTTCTGGTCTCTGAATTAACGGACATCAAAGTTTGAACACTAACGGACTCTGCTCTGATGTGACCCTGTCATCTGTTGGTTTTCTTGTCTCCGAGGTAACAGACATC